AAAATCTGAAATGTGCTAGTCTTCCACGCAAATAACGAAATGTGCTAGTCTTCCACGCAAAAATCTGAAATGTGCTACTCTTCCACGCAAAAATCTGAAATGTGCTAGTCTTCCACGCAAAAATCTGAAATGTACTAGTCTTCCACGCAAATAACGAAATGTGCTACTCTTCCACGCAAAAATCTGAAATGTGCTACTTTTCGACGCGAATAATGAAATGTGCTAGTCTTCCACGCTAATAGTGAAATGTGCTAGTCTTCCACGCGAATAGTGAAATGTGCTACTCTTCGTAGGGACCGACGATATGGCAAAGCTATAAATTTTTTGCCGATAGTGCAATGGGCGCTTCGCAGCCGATTTTCGGTTCTGTAAGATCCTTTATCGGTTATTTTGAATAGTTTTGTAGCTCTCTTTATTTATTTTTTCAGTTTTTCTGAGATCGTTTTCCGATTCCGGAACCGTTTTTCGGTTGTTCTTAAATCGAGTTTCGGTTATTTTAGGATCGAGTTTCGGGTCGTTCGGAACCATTTTTCGGTTCTTTTAGGATTGAGTTTCGGGCCTTTCGGAAACATTTTTCGGTTCTTTTAAAATCGAGTTTCGGTTCTTCAGGAAACGTTCTTCGGTTACTCTGGAATAGAGTTTCGATTCTTTCGGAATTGAGTTCTGGTACTTTTGGATTCAAGTTTCGGATCTTCCGGAACCTTTTTTCGGTTCTTTTGGAATCAAGTTTCGGGTCTTCCAAAACCGTTGTTCGTTTTTTGTAAGAAACGGACCAGTCAGTTCTCTAAAGGACCCGGTTCTCCGTTTCCGGTTCCTCAGTTCAAAAGATTTCGAGTTTATCTATAAACACACGGTTAGAGTGTTTGCAATGCGCAAGAGCGGGAAATTCGCAGATATAGTGGAGGATCACTTAATTGCTATCTGCAGTATATGTAGAAGCTGCGTCAGCTCTTTATGTAATGGCAGACATTTAGGTTAAGTGCTCAGCAAAGGGACAGTTTCCCACCAACGTGGGTATATATTTATCTAACACGGATTCGTTTTCAACTATAGAGGAGGACTAAGCCCTGCTCTCTCTAATCAGCCCGAGGAGACCACGAACTACGCGTGGCCTCTACTTCATACATATATATTCCCTATGGATCAGAACTAAAACGATTGAGATCTCTAGTACATATCTATTTTTATTCGTACACCCGTTTAAGGATATTATAAATCATTTTTATGTAACTTAGTTACAAAAAAAAATCCAATTGGCGTGAAATGAAATTGTGGTAGAACGGAAACATAAAAGAATTTTCCAAGCACTCAAGCATACACAGGATTAGGAAAAAGGGAAAACAGGTGAAGATTCGAAATCATTATTGCTCTGCAAACTTACCAGACTATTTTTCGAACTTCTATCTCAATCTTTCGGCGGTCGCTGTGGCTAAGTGGTTAGAGGTGGGTACTACCACTCTGCAGGACCCGGGTTCGATTCCTGGTCCAAGGAATATCTTAATTAGAAAAGGTTTTTTCTAACAGCGTTCGCCCCTAAGCACGAAATGGCAAGCTTCCGAGTATAATCCTGCCATGAAAACGCTTCTGTTAAGGTCCATTTGAAGTCCGGAGGCGGTGCAAAACAGTAGCATCCGCATCCTCCAGTTGTGTGACAACATCAAGCCGCACACCACAAATTAAAGAAGAAAAGCACGCAAAAATAGTTTTATTATCTCAATCTGGCGAATACCGTATAGCTAAATGTACACAGTGGGTCGTCAGTGTGATGAATTCTACCACTCAAATTCTCTGACAAACTTCAAAATTTCGTTCTGTGGCCAGAACTCTATTCGTCGCTTTGACCACGTTTATAGCTTATATTCACAGCAGGATACGCGAATATCGGTCTGACGAAAAACATGTATAACCAATGTATCATGGCCGGCCTCAGACCCCAAGTCTAAAATTGTCTTGCTGGTGTTGACACGAAGTGGATCCAACTTATGACTAGTTCGCCTACTCCGCGTCGTCTGGCCAGGTATCCCAGCAAGGTCTCCCATTGTTTACTTCCCGCTGTTCAGCTCCTCTTGGATCCTCCATTAGGCTCCTCAAGCCAGTGCTTATTTGAGTAGCAGATATATGTATGTATGTATGGTGTAGCCTTATTCATAAAAAAATAAAATAAATTTAAAGAGCTTTATAAAGTGACTGGTATTTATTTTTTATGAATTAGGTGATAATTTTCGGCGTTTTAATTTCCATTTTTTTAAATTCCTTTCAAATAATAGGGGAGTCAATGCCTTCAAAATAAACGTTAGGTTCACTGATAACCTCTTCATTCGACCCAAATCTCTTACCGCCCAGCTATTTCTTTGGGTTTGGAAAGAGAAAACTTTCGCAGGGGAATAAATCTGGTGAATATTGATTTACAGGACAGCAGTTTCTTGGTCATATATGGTCGTTCAAATCAAAATCGAATCTGTCCAAAATGCCTTGAATAATATTCGCTAGTAATCGTTTTGCCCTTTTCAAGGTAATCGATGTGAATGTCATAGCGTTCATTCCAAAAAACTTTGGCTATAACCTTTTTGGCTGACAGACCCGCTTTGGTCCACTTCTCGATTATTCCTTGGTGTTTGGAGTGTCGTGGTGGATTCATATTTCGCTAACGTAAGCAAAACGGTGCAAAAAGTCGTTCGGATTGCAGCCGTACATCTCCAAACACGTCTTCGAAGTGGTCCCATGGTTGCGTTTTTGATCGACTGTGAGAAATAGCGGCATCCACCGCGCGGACGGCTTTGTTATATCCAAATATTGATGAAAAATGTAATCTACCCTCTCAGTTAAAATGCTGACAGCCTCAGGCACCTTACACACTTTAGTTCTGTTTATGATCGTTCAATTTCATTCCATGGATTTGACTTGAACTTGACTTAGTAAACCACTTTTGACCATTGAAATTGATCAAGCCTTTTCTTAGTTTCGGTACAGGATTTTTTACTTAAAAATATAATGCTTAATCGGTACACGAAATTCACATTTTTTCATTTCACACAAGTCAATCAAAGACAATTGACGGCAATAATATAATAATAATAAAAGATTGGCGCTTACACATATGTATGTTAGAGTTTGGCCGAGCTTCTCCTCCAATTTGTGGCGTATGCCTTGATGTCACACAAAGGGGAGGGACGGAAATAATATATTTCATTTCGAATTACTGCGCGTGAAATTCAAAACCTCACCGATTTTTTTTAGATTGGCCTTATCATTGCGAGAAATATATTTTTTTCTATTCGTTATAGAAAATTTCGTCCACTATACAAATGCGAGACAATGCCACCCATCATGTTAAGATTAGCTACTATTCAGCTTGTGGCAAAGATGGCCCCGAAATACCAACATCGAAATGTGACAATGTACGCGTCGGAGATGAAATTACATTCACCCTTCATATCGAATTGAATTCATGTCCCTCTGATCCACGCGATTGGCGAGAAGTCATACAAATCTCTCCGATCGGTATAAATGAAAGCCTGATCATTGATCTCGAAATGCTTTGCGGTTGTGAGTGCGAGGCGCAGCGAAAAACACTCAGTGAGCAGTGTAACGCGCGCGGCAGTCTTGTTTGTGGTGTTTGTGAATGCGATGAGAAGTTTATTGGTACCAATTGCCAATGCCTTAGTGACACTATGCCGTCGAAGAGTGAAAATAGCCACTTCTGCCACGATAATACGACGCAAGTGGACTGTAGTGGGCGTGGTCTGTGCTCATGCGGCGTTTGCCAATGCGATAAGCGTGCAAATCCCAATGAAGTTATTTCCGGAAAATATTGCCAATGTGACAATTTCTCTTGTGAACGTCATGAACAAAAAATTTGTTCTGGTCCGGAGCACGGCACATGTGAATGTGGAAAGTGCGCTTGTAAAACGGGTTGGGCGGGAGCAGCTTGCGAGTGTCAGTTGTCGAAAGAGACCTGCAGACCAGCTGGTGGCGGCCAGCTTTGTTCCGGCAAAGGAACATGTGAGTGCGGCATATGCAAGTAAGGAATTTTATATTTGGAAAGAATTAAGAAACTTTAATTAAAAAGAAAAAAAACTAACTTTTATTTGTCCATTGCAGATGTCAATCCACGCCACAGGGTTACTTTTCGGGCCAGTACTGCGAGTTGTGTCCGACATGTTCCAATCGTTGCGATAAACTCAAAGATTGCGTGCAATGCCAAATGTACAATTCGGGAAAGTTTAAGAATTTGCCGGACTGTTTGGGTAACTGCACGAGTGTGGAGACGACCGCGCTAGATAACGACGCTATTGAAAAATATGAACTGGTTAAGGGCGAAAAGAAATGCTCCGCCTACGATGATGTCAATAAATGTAAATTCACTTTTATATTCAAAGAAATGGACGACGGCAC